GACGCCGCGGGGGCGGGGCGCGCGCTCCCGCCGCTGTTTTGCTGGGGCTGCTGACGCAAAAAGCCAAAGCGCGGCAAAGCTGCCCGCCCAGCCTCCCGTCCCCCGCCTCCTCGCGGCTCCTCGGAAGGAGGGGGAGGGACGAGGAGGTGGCGGCCGGCACTACGACGGCTGCCAGGGAGGGGGAGGGGAAGGCCGGGTGCTAGGCTGCGCTCGCCCCGGGCGGTGCCCCTTGCAGTGCCCGCCGAGATGCTTGTCCCCAGCTCCTGGGTACCTTCGACCAAGAATTGTCCCCACGCAAGTGGGCGTTAGCCCCACGACGAGCGGTTAAGACGCGAGGCGAGACTGGCGCACCTGAGCTGCCCGATCTCTCTACCACGTACACCCCCTCTGCCCAGCCCCGTGGGCCCCGAGTCTTTGGGGAGGTCACCTCGTCGCTCACCACCAGCCCCCTGCGTTCGTCCCCTAAGCCAGCCGACGAGCGGGCTCCGTGCCGAGTACACATAACTGGGTGATTAATACATCGAGGGAACTCAAGCCGATGCGGGCTCCTGCCCTCGAGCACGACAGCTCGCGGGCGTCGCACTCCAGGGTTCTGGACAGCGCCTGCCTCGAACGGTCACTGCCGTCGCGAATGCCTCAGGGAGCGTCCTTCCAGCACCCGGCCATCGAGTCAACCCCTCTCTCATCCCACTTAAGCGGCCGCGAGAGACACATGAACTTATACATTGAGAGTTATTGGATGGCAGTGGTTGTCCCTTAAACCAGTTGAGATAGTCCTCGGGCTCTCCTTGACGTTTGGGGCGCCATTTAGGGAACCACGCGGAGCCCTGAGAAGGGAACCATCAAGGCGCCACACTCAAGATGGCGTTGGACTCGGCGAGAGTGACGTGGCGATGCAACCCAAGCAGACGATCCGAAAACCGTAGGCTACACACTCCTTATCGCCACCGCACTTGGTTGTCAAATTAAGAAACCTGTTATGTGAGAGGAAAGATTAGAATGGGTGGAAATATGTTCTAGACAAATATCTATGCCACACACAAGATGGCGACAGATAGGGTTCATCTCTGTGTTGCCAAAAGGGGGCGCCCCACACGGAAGGCGGGACTCCGGAGAAACGAGCTCACACTGGCTGAGAGTGGCGGGCGAACACAAAGTTGACGCTTTGCGTTCTGTCATTGGCGGTTTACGCTGTCTGTCTCTTGGGGCCGCCCGTCTGGGAATGGAGAAAACCCGGAGTCTGGAATCGTGGAGAAGGGACAGTTGCCAAGTCCAGTAAGAGCTTGAAGTCAGGGGAGAGAAGAGAGACTGAGTCGCTCTTCTTGGTTTTCTTAGGTCAGGAGCCAGCTGGCCCCATTCCCACTGCGAGACCCCGTTTACTGAGTTTACCACGCACTCGCCCGGCTGCCACCCTGGGCCTCGGACTCCGCTGTCCGGCCGTGAAGAGGCGCAGAGTGCTCGAGCGCCAGCCGGGCCTGGGTCCCCTCCCACTCACGCAGTCCCGCACGCGTCAGTCCCGCATCCCCGAGCACATCTGCCAGTCCGGCTGCTGGCCTGTGGGGCTTTTGCGAGCGAGTTGTCTTCTGTGGGGTGAGAACCCCGCACTGCCTGTCTTTTGGCCAGGAGAAACGTGCGGCGGGTGCTGGACAGGGCGGGGGCGCCGCGCCACCTCCCGCTGCCTGACGGTCGCCATCCGGTCCTGGGTTCGCAGCGGCGGAGGGGGAGCCAGCCGGATCTCCGCCCTGCCCCAAGGCGCCCCGATGGCTGGAGGTGGGATTCTCCCCAGGGTGAGCGCGCGCCAATCTAAGGGACTCGCAATGGTGTCCTCGAGGACTACGCGTCCCAACTCTTTGTTCTATCCCCCCCACCGCCGCCGCCAGCTTTATTGAGGCGCGGACCTGCGACCGCCCTTGGCCTCAGAGGATGAAGGGGCTCCTTGGCTGCTGCCGCCGCCACCCCTCCTTTGTGCCACTTTCTCTGAGAGGTTTGTGCGGCATCATAAATGAGGCCAGAGAGCGCCTTCTACCTGCGGCGCATCCGTAAAGCTCTGGTTACACTCGAGGGGATTGTTCAGTCAACAAAACCCCGATGCAGCACGAACTTGGTTGTGCCACATCTAAGCAATTGAGTCGGCTTCTCTGTCTGGATGGTGGCCTTGGGCAGACGTCTCTTTGTTCACAGCTGAAAACTAGATATGTCTGTTCTGGATTCTGACCGTTATGGGGGAGGGGGGCGAGGGGGTGCATCGGGAGGAGCCGGGTGAATGTGAATTTCCCTCGAAGAACTGCTTTGCCTGTCCCAATGCAGCTGGCTGTGGCTAGAAGTGTGTAAAGAAGGTTCATGGCCACCTGGTTCTGGAATCAGCATTTACATTCACCAAGCACTCACTGAGCATCTGCTGTGTACATGGCAGTGAGCCTTTGGCTCATGCTTCAAGCCTTTTCGTTTATTCTCTGAACCTTGCAAGTAGGTAGGACAATTATAGGGTTGAATTATATGAAATTGATGTTTTTGTAGGTCAAAACCAATTGAAAATCAGCAAACTTACAGGTTCAACCTCTAACGTGATATCACTCTCCTTTTAATGAGTCCGAAAAGCAGACCAAAGGATTGTAGCAAGGGACTTGGAGTAACCAAGTGATTCAGTCAGTCACTGACTAGGCTGAGGCTAAAATCCTAGAATGGAGGAATCCCCAATGTTAGATGAGCCCCAGAGCAGAAGTGGTCTCCTTGGACCCCCTCCTCCTCCTGGCCATAGCAGTGTGGCATTTGACTTAAGCTATCATAGCCTGGTTCCTCCAGTGACAGGCAACTCCCCACTTTTACTCATTGATGCATTTCTGCCCTTCGTTGCTTCTGTGGCCTTTCAAACCCCTCTAAAACCAGCTCGTGTGCCCTGGTAGGCCGCATTTCCAGGTCCAGCTCTGTTTACAGCCTCAGGTGCACTGGGCTTAGGTTAGAGCTGTTCTAAGGCAGCCCCCAAATGGCTTTCAGGCAAGTTTTGTGTTTAGGGCATTTGCATAAGGACATCTCTGGGTTGCCTACACTCTCCAGTTGGACCACAGACCTCTCCCTGCCCAGCCTGAGTCACATTCATTTCACCTCCCTGGCCCTGTAGGCACTTAAGTTTGCAACACTTGCCCCAAAGCCATTTTAAACCTATTCCTAAATGGTTGTATCACAATTCTGCTTGATTCGCAAAAGACTAGAAAGAATATAATTGCTGGTAAAGCTCCCTGGGTTCAGATCCTATCCCTGCCACATGCTCACTGTGTGAAATTCGGCAAGTTACTTCCTCACCTCTAAAAAATGGAGACGATGATAACGGTCCCTACCTTCCAGGGCTATGGTGGGAACTGAAGGGGTTACTATTCGAGAAGTGCTTCTGACAGTGTCTGGCACCTCCAGGAAAACCATCAGTGTTCTGGGGACCCCATTTTCCAGCTGCCATCTGTACCTAAGTGGGTTGGTTTCACAGTGTTTGCAGGACTCTATACAAAGGAACGTCTTCAGCAAATTCTTCCCATATTCGGTGGGAAATGAGGGCACTGGCCTAGCTGAGTTTCTGGACGCCTGTGATTTGGCCTGACATGCTTGGTGGCCCCTCTGGCCTCAGAGGGATGACAGAGTCTGGGAGGCAGCCTGCGCAGAGCAGGCCTCAAAAACTCCCGCCTTCCCGCCCTTCAGAAACCAGGAGTTTCAGCCTGTGGTTTCCTTACCCAGGCACAAGAGCCTGGGGAGCTGCCAGGGGCCTTTCAACTCTCCCGCCCTGTTGAGCCTGGACGAGATTGTGTAAGAGCCCCCCCAACCCCCCACGCCTGCTCCCTTGTGCAACACGCCCAGGCCTGCCCGTTCTCCTGGAGGGCTATGCCACAGGCCCTGGTACCCACAGAGGCCTGGCTGCCCCAAGAGGCTCCTGCTTGGCAGGGAGAAAGTGGGGCACATCTCTTGACATTCTGGGTCTGCCCCTAAACTGGTCAAACTGGAGCCCCGACTGGAATTCAAGAAAGGAGGCTGGAGGAGGGAGGTGTGTGTGCTGTGTACATGGCCATCGCCACCCTGGAGCCCACTCGTGCAGAGGTGCCAGTTTGGACTCCTCATGCACATGCCCCCTGCAGTGTCTCCAGGACTCTTCTGCCTGCCTGTGCCGTTTCCCGGCCCCCTCCCCTGCACCCATTCCCATGTGTGCATGCCTATTTGTGTAGCTCAAGCTCCGTGGGTGTTTTGCTTAAGCTCTGGTTACCGTTTGTGAGTGTGTGGGCACAGCATCACAGTGGCAGGTGAAGGTACCAGTTGGGGGAGCACGCACACAGGCACTCACCCGGCCGCCCTGCCTGTGAGAGCCTGTGAGAATGGTGCCCCCAAGGAAAGGTTAAACACCTGTATGTGATGTGAAGGCATTTAACTGGCCACCTCCACACCTGGCACTTCCTGACTGACACCCAGCCCCACAGGGGAACCCAGCAAACAGGAGCCTCAAGTGGGCCCCAGCTGAGGGTCTGTGTGCCCAGGTAACCTTGAAGTTGAGGAAATGCAAGTTCTTTGACATCTCGGAGTTTCCTCTTTCCTCTTTTCTGTTAATCTCAAACGGGTCTTTTCTACCTTCACCCCTGGCAGAGAAGCCACCCCAGCCTTGTTTGAGGGGAGGAGATACAGGGATGGAGGACATACCACCAGCCAAGATTTGCTCACTCTCTCACCCCAAATGGGAGTACAGACAGGGTGGCCAACTGTCCGGGTTGTTCTGGGACGCAGAGCTCCCAGTGCTACAACCAGGAAATGCCCGGGCACACTGGGACACTTGGTCGCACTGTCTGGTACTTACGCATGTGCTGAATGGCGTCTCTGAAGAAATCTATAACCACTGCCAAGAAGAAGGGTCTTGTGGCCCTCGATCCAAAACCAGCCTCCAGCTTGGATTGCACTTCTCTTTGCCATGGAGAACCCAGGGTGACGCCGGGAGCATTTGGTGTGCACATGGCAGAGCAGAAGGATTGAAAGGCTTAGTGGAGATCACAGAGCATGCTGGCGGCGCAGGGATCGGCAGCTCCCACACCCTCCCGGGAGGCGCTCAGCTGCCATGTGCAGTGACGCCTGCCATGTGTGGTGACGCCTGCCATGTGCAATGGCAGTCATGAGCATGGGAATCTGTTAGTTTCTAGATCCAGGTGGGAGCAAGAGTTTCTATAACTGGGGGAGGAGATTCCTCTGGCTCTTTCAAAAATGTTCTGTCCTCTAAGAGGTTTTTGGAGACTCTCACATGAGAAAAAAACGTGAGGCTCTCGCTTGGACAGTTCTCTAGGAAAATCTCAAAATGGGACGCAGAGTGACCCCGGAACTCAAACCTCCCCAGGGAAGGGAAGCTGGCGGCACCTTTTCTAGGGAAGAGCGAGCTCTGTGCAGTTAAAGCCTGAGCAGAAAGCTGGGCTCGGGCACGCGAACTGAGAGCTGGCCCAGCACTTAGCTCAGCTGCAGCATGTTCTCCACTTGTTGCCTGTGGCCAGGCCTTGAATCGTCACCATTTATTAACTTGGCAGCTTTCTCCAGGCCACTCTCTCTTGCCACTTAGGTGCTTTCAAAGTGTTACCTCAAAAGCATCAGCCAGACACCTCCCTATCCACTCGGCTGCTGGCAAGACCTCAGTTTTCCCACTTGCTAAATGGAGAGAATATGGCCCTGCTCCCAGGGTGAGAACAGCATGGCTGTTTGTCCCTGCTCTGTCCTGGGCTGTTCACCGGGCCACAGCGCTCTGAGGTGCACAGTCCCTGGCTAAGCATGGTTTTGAGACCCCCAAAGTATTTATCACGTTGGTAGTAATCAGTTTCCTGTGGACCATGTGTGATATGTTGGAGGTTTTCTCAATTAAGATTGTTAGGATGATAAAATGGATTCCAGAATGTTCTTCAGAAGTCACCACTACTATTAAACAAGGCCGAATTTCGATTCAGGGGCATTCATGATGGAAAGTAAAATGTGTTCTTAATATCTGCAGAAAGAGATAAAAGGGAAATTAAAAATGAATGATTAATGTTAATAAGTGAGCATACATGAAACAGCTCTCAAAGCAGGGCGGGACCCGCACGAAGACACATCCTTAGCTGAGAATCCAGCTTCCGGTTACTTAAAGCTTTCAGCTTCGTGAAGGCTGTCGCCTAGCAATAGTGGGGGCTCCCTGTGCTTTTTCTCTTCAGTCCCAGCCTCTCTTCCTCACGGAGCCACCAGTAGGAGTGGGGCACTCGAGGGACTGGAGAATCTGCCCCTAGGCTTGATTGACACTGTTCCTAAGCAAGTGACTTCACCTTCCCAGCTTGTTCCCATCATTTGGGCCGAAACGAGGGGCTCTCTTGGCACAGACGGTCACGTAAGCACCCACCTCCTTACAGGCACCATGAGCTGGGGCTGGTAAGGACAGGTCTGGCATGGCCCCGTACCTTGTACATCTGACCATACTTCATCCTGAAATGACTATTCAGTTGCTCTGAATCAAATGGAATTGGGCCCAACCTTCCACTGAGCCCTTATCCCAGGGCGTTGACACCTGTTCCATGCCAGAGGAGCAGAGAAAAACTTAACACACTTCAGTTATGGCAAGTACCCTGCAGAAGGAGAGGACAGGCAAGAACCTCACTTTACAGACGGGACCCCAAGCGGGAGCCTGATTTGCCAGCAGAGTGGCCCCTGGCCGGGAAGAAAGCCCCTTTGGCCCTGGCTGCCAGGGCTCCATGCCACCCACCCTCCCTCTCGCTGAATGACCAGGGCCCTGGCTGACACCAGCTTGCGAGACTAGGACAGACCAGAGAGGGTGGGGGCACTTCCTGGAGCAAGGAGGGCTTGGCCAGGGCCAAGAGTCAGGGTGAGATGTGAGAGGAGAGAGCAGGAATGGGCGCAGCTCCGATGGACACGAGGCGGGCACGTGCATGAACGGGACGTGGGGCGGGACGTCAGTGGGAAGAGGGGCATTTCTGGACCCTGGCTTGCCCCATCGGGGCCACCACAAGTGACCACAGTCGAAACCCCGGCACATTTTGGTATACGTGGTAGAGAGGCCATGTGAGAATGGCAGCTCCTGTTCAGTGAAAAAACTCTGGGCTGGACATCGATCTGAGTTCTAGACACACATTCACATTAACTCATTCAATCCTGTAAGGCTTGCTCTTATCCCCACCTTACAAAAGGGACAACTGAGGCACAGAGTGGGCAGGTGTTGCCCAAAGTAAGCGGCAGAGCTGGGATTTGCGACCGGGCAGCCTGACTCCAGAGCCTCACGCTCTGCAGTTGCAGGTGCAGCCTCCAGCTTTCAAAGGGAAAAATCACTGGTCATAAGCACCCCTCCCTCCCTTAGCCTCTGCCCACCACCACCCCCTCGAACGGCACAGACAGGATCTTGGGGTTTCCTCTCTTGATTGGCAAGGTGTTTATTTTCACCAACTGAGGTCCTCAGTCCCCCAGTAGATGCCTCTCAGGTTGCAAGGGGAGCAGAGAATGCTTTCCAGATAGGTGACTTCTGGCCATGAGGCAAGAAGCCATGGTGAGACCTGGCAATCTGCAGGGAAGAGCATTTTGCAACTATTCGTTGCCAAGGCCTCACCAGAAAATTGGCCTACTAAAAGCTAAGAGCTCCCAGGGTGTTCCATTGTGCTTTTTCATGGCATCAGTAGACAAACTGGTAAGATCGGGCCTGTACGTATCTCCAGGCTACCATTTCCCGTGGCCTGGCTCTGGGCTGTGAAAGTACAATGTTGCACAAGGTCGCTTTTAGAGCGACTCACAGGACAAATTTCTCTCAGGCCTCAGCACCAGCAAGGCAGTGTTAACTGGTAGTTAGGACATGAACTCTGGGTCCCCCAACTGTCCTCCTATGGGGGCGTCTCCAGGCAGCCTCTGTGGCTTAGAGTTTTTTCAGCCCAAATGAACCCCCATGAGCTTCAGTTTTCTCATATTTAACATGGGATTCAGTAACAACCTCCTAAGACTTCTCTCGAATCACTCGTTTCACTTTTGGTTTATAGACCTTCCATGTCTTGTCACTAATCACATTTCCTCACTGTCTGGGCCACCGGAAGCTCAGCACTCACCTGGAGGGCACCTCGGGGTTCCAGAGCACACCCCAGGGGCAGGGGACTGCCCCTACTCCCAGCTCCCTCTTGTCTCTACCCCACTTTCCCTTAGCCCAACTCCTTCAGTGATTTTTTTTCCTATTGTCTTTCAGGTATTTCTTTAGAGGCCTAAATTAATTAAAGTGGTAATTAAACAAGCCAGAGCCCTTTATACCTAAAGCACCTTCTCACAGGTTGTGCCATGTAAGCCTCACACCAGTCTAGGTAGGTGACCCATTTTACGGAAGAGGAAATGGAGGCCCCCAGAGCAAGCTGGTGAGGTGGAGACAGGTCATCCCGCACTGCCCTGCTGCCCAGCACCGGTCCCTTTGCCCCTGTCCTGGCTCCATAAATGGTCGCCCGTCACTCTCCCGGCCCTTCCCAGCATCCCCTGCCCGGATGGAGCGCGGCGATTCTGCCCTTTCCTCACACCTCATTCCCATCCCACCTTCCGTTTCCCTGTGCCGTTCTCTTGTGTTTGGGGGGGACTTTCCAAGAGATGGTAAAGCTCTTTGCATTATTTAAGGATGAGTGAAAAATCAGCCACCTCTCTTGGTGGCCTCCTTCATGGCATTCACACCAAATAATTCAGGTTTAGCTCTCTCGTTGAGTGACACTAATGTCCCCAGAGTCCTGGCATGTGGCTCAGCCTTAAGGAAATGTAGCTCAGTACTCCCCAGAACTGGCTACCTGGCCAGTCCTTCAGAGAGGAGCCACCGTTCAGTTGCTCGCTCCCTGAATGGACCCCCTGGGGAAGGCCCAGGACCTCGAGGGGCTCAGACATGCCAAGTAAAATGTGGAGGGGACCCCCTTTAAAACCCTAGCCTCCCTCTGAGGCTTGGAGCTCTTGAGTCCAGCTGAGCACTTGAAGCTCCAGTGCTGAGTTGGGGTCTGGCGGAGAGAGCTGAACCTCTCTGCAGAATATGGGGCATTTGAGCTTTTCTGGGACACTGGCAGCAGTCATTTTGTTCACATCTCAGTGACAAAGCAACCCACAACTTAGAGCTTGTTGATAATTTTTATTATTATGACTTGGTGGTAATTTCCCTTCTTGGCACACAAGGCTCAAGACTGTTGCCTTTCAAGAAACTGTGGCAGTGTGGTTGATGGCACCAGCTCCGAGGTCACCCAGCTCTGCCCTGAGGCTCCGATTCCTGCGCTCAGGTTCCCCTCCCAGGGGACCTCAGCCCCGATCTGCCCACAGGGGCCACACCCATGCATAAGTCCTCCAGGGGCTAGCGCTGTCCGCTGCCTTCTGGCTGCCCAGGTCTGGCAGAGGAGCCAGCAGGAAAGGCCGAGAAACAGCCAAGCGTTGTAGCCTGAAACCCTGAAAATAGGGTCAGGGAGCCGCAACCCTGCCGGCTCACTTGTGAGCTCACCGTAGATGAGGGAGCCCGCCTTGCCTAACCAGACAGAAACACAAGTGAGACTGGCCGCCTGGAACCCTCAGCAGACAGGCACATGGCAGGCAAGCAGCGGCCACACCCCCGGCCTCCGCCCAGCTTCTCTCTTCTCTGGAACAAGCCCGGGTCCTGTCCTTCAACCTCCCGACGACGGGCGTGCACGCGCTTTGGAAGTATAAGTACACACACGTATCCATGTCCGGCAACGTGTGTTCGTGCCTGTGCAGACACGAGCGTGTGCCTGCGACGTCGGCAGTCATGCGAGATCCCTTCCCACCCAGGAGCTGGGGCACAAAGCCAGTCCCTGCAGGTACATGGGTGTTCGCTTCATTCTCTTTTATACTTTTCTGTAGTTTTTTTAACCCTCCCAAATGTAAGCACACACACAGACACACACACACACACACACACACCCAGCGGGGAAGGCAGGCACAGTCAGGAGGGTCGCGGTAGGTGTCGAGGGCCACAGCAGCTGAACCAGAGGAGAGAGCAGTTGAGCGCCACCAGAGCAGTTAGGGAGGGCTTCCCAGAGGAAGCATCGTCGGAGCTGGAACTTCACAGGTGATGAGTGCTGCTCCAGGTGCATTCCGGCCTTCCCTACTGATGCTCCTCCCCTCTCCTCTGGCCCAGCCCCTCCTGTGGCTCCTCGCTTAGCTGTCTCCATCTCCAATTCTCACCTCGCTGTGCCTCTGGGCACATCTCTGTACCTCCCTGGTACCTCAGTTTTCTAACCAAAACAATAATAAAATAAATAAAACAAACAAATAATGTAGCTTATCTGGGTGATAATGGAAGCTCTGTTCCAGTAGAAACATTTCATTTGGCCCAACCTTTTTCTAGAAGTTTCGGAGTTACCTAAGCCTACAAACTGAAAGGGATTGTGGAACTAACCTGGTCCCACATCCTACCCTGGGAGGCATGATCCCTCCATAAACCCCCTTCAGGGGTCGCCTGGTCTCAGCCTGAACACCTGCACACACAGGTGAGCACACAGAAGTGCGAAGACACCCATGCACCCAGCTTGCCTGGTGCTGAGCGAAATGCCTGCCTTCCCATCAGTCATCAGATCCCAGGTAGCCTCTGTGCCCCACTCCTCTGCCTGGAACTGGGGACACAGTGGGCTGGGGACCAGCAGGCCCCATAGGTTGGGGACGGGTGAGCTCTGCCCCCTCTTTATTCTGTGGGCTTAGAGAAATCGGTGAACTCTCTGAGCCTCAGTTTCCTTCTGTAAAGGTGAGAAGGGGATGAGGAAGAAGTTACAGTTTGTAAACCGTCAACTGCTCTGCAGATGCTATTCATTATGACGTAACCATTTGAGAGCAATTACAAAGCAACCATCAAGGATTATAGAACAATGCAGGGGAAACTGCACACATATGTGCTAGGGAGGCCCCCCAGGAAGAGCATTGAGGGCAGAGTCCTCTAGTGGCTGCCATTTGGGTGGTATCACTATGCCCAAGTTCCCTGCACAAGATAAACGGCCTCATCCTCAGAGCCAACCTGGGGAGCAGGGGCGGGCATCAGCCCCATGGGACCGGGAGGACCTGTGGGCTTAGAGCCAACAGACTGGGTTCGGGATTCAGGTCTTCTGGCTGCAAAATGTAGGCGCTTTCCACTCTGCAGCTGCAGTGGGACAGATTTCAAGCCAAAGAGATCTGAGCAGACGTGAGTCACATGAGTTGATGAAGAGAAGCCACATTTGCTGTGGGGGAAGGACATTCATTCATTCATTTATTCATTCATTCATCGACACCTGCTTCTGAACACCTGTCTCCTGTTGAGCAAATGAAGATAGGAGGGGGACTCTAAGGGCTTGTGTGGCAGAGATCAGGTGGTGTCTTCCTCACCCATGTCAGCCCTAAAGCTGAGACCCAGACCGAGGCTGCAGGGACTGGCTCCAGGCAGTTACCAGGAGCCTCCTGTACATGGGCAGAGCTTCTGTTTTTCATCAAGACCAGTCAAATGGATCCCAGGGCCTCGGTTGAGGGGGGCAGAAGGCACATAGGGAGGGGAAAAGAGGATGAGGGGGCCTCCCTTGGGTCACTCAAGGTGCCCAGGGGACTAAGGGAGCTGGAGACAGAGCCTGGAACAGCAGGCCAGGTTGGCGGAAGCAGGGCCAGGCGCGGATCCAGGGCCACCAGGCCTGCATGTGGGAGGGGCCTGCAGAGGGAGGCAAGCGTGGCCTGAGGGAGAGGGGAGCAGCCTGATTAATAGGATGATAGGGGCAGATGGACGGGCAGCCAGGGCCACTCTGGGCACCAGCCTCCTGCTCCCCAGCCACCAACCAGGCTGCTGGGCTGGGGCAGGGACAGGCTGCTGGCCTCTGGCAGGGGTGAGGCTGTGGTGAATGAATCACTGGCCAGTGCCAGGAGCCTGCAGGCCTCAGCGCTCACTCCCCGAGGACCAGCTAATTCACTTGGAGTGAGGCCGGACCACTAATGACCAGAGCAGCCTGCCCAGGCCCTGCGGAGCCCCATGCACAGCTGACCACTGAGCAAGGGGCCAGACAGCGGGGGACAGGTGTGCCCACCTCTGCAACAGGCTTGGCCAGGGCTCCAAACCTGCCTTAGGAGAGGCAGCAATGCCCCCAAGTGGGGGAAAGACCCTTACCCTGAGCCAGCCTGAGTCGGGGGTGGAGAGGGGCACAGCCACCCCCACACCCCCGAGCTGCAAAGAGCCTAATTATGGTAGGAAACAGGGAAGGGGACCTGGGGAGGAGTAGCAAGGAGGGCCAGCCTAGTCCTCCTCCCTTCCTAGGAGAAGGAGGAGATAGAACCTCGTTCAGCCAGGGCACATGGCCAGGTCGTGAGCTGGGCCCCACCAGGAATAGACACTCAACTCCCTGAGAAACAAATCACTTGGAAAACAAGGCCTGGCGCCTTGCCAGGTGCTCCCTGACGCATGCTGTTTGCTGATGGCACAGGTGCGGCATTCCAGGGCTGACCCCCATCCTGCGCATGTCCCTGGGTTCAGTGAGCACAAGACTGAGCGGCTCTCTGCCGGGCTCCAAACACCATTCCAAAGCTCAGCCAGGAAAGGGCTCAGCACACACCAACCACCACAGTGATAACAGCCAACTTCCATGCGCCCTGTGCCTGGCCCCAAACCAGCTCTGCATATGCCGCCCCATTTGTCCCTGCATCCCCCTGCAAGGCAGGGACTGTTAAGGATGCCCATTTTACAGAGAAGGTAACTGAGTCTCAGTAGGGTAGATCACAAGCCCAAGGCCCTTAACTTGTATGCAGCAGAGTTGGGTCCTGAATGACTCCCATGTGTAACCCCTGCTTGGCACAGCTCCAGGACTCTGGGTTTGAGGGAGGGGAGACCTCTGGATTCTGTCCTTAAGAAATCGAAGGCCTCACCAGAAGCTCAGTGGGGCCGGAAGGGCTAGACACTGGCGAAAGGAGAGGACTGAAGGCCTCTGGGGTCCTAGCTCCCATTTCGGTGTTCCTGGGTCCCCCTCCCAGGGAACATGTTAACGAACCCTTAGAGAGACAATGAGGAGGGGTGAAGGCTGCAGCCTGTGAGGGGGGTGTGTTTGTAGGGCTGTTGGGGCTGCATGGTCCTGCCTAGAGGGCCAGGGAGTGATGGGCCACTCTCCCTCCTTGTGATGGCTGCCATCCCATGCCTGGCACCGGCCTTGAGCCTTGGTCCTCTCACTGCCCCATGGGCCCTCCAGACTCACCTCGGGGCAGAAAAGAGCTCAACCAAGCAGGGCCTGCAGGACTCTGTGGCTGGCGAGTCCCCAGGCATGGTGGCCACCTCCTGGGCAGAGGAACAAAGGGAACCTGGTTTGGGAGGACGGGTTGTGACCACGTGTTCTCCTTCCCGCCAGGGCTGGGCCTGGAGGGAAGGGGCCTCGGGCGCCCTCTGCTGGCCTGGGGGCTCCAGGAGGAAGGAAGTGGTGGCTGCCGGGCCTAGATCATTAGTTCCTCCTCCTGCACCCAAGGCTTGGCTGGGTGCGTACTGGTGGATATCTGTGTGTGCATGTGTGTTCTGTGTGTGCAAATATACGTTCATGTCTGTGTGTGCCCGTATGTGAGTGGGTCTATGTGTGCACATGTCTGTAGATGTGTCTGTGGGCACCTGTGTGTGCTGTGGATGTGTGTGCATATCTGTGTCTGTGTCAGCATGTATCAGTGTGTGTGTTGGTGTGTGTTCAAATCTATGTTTGTATTTGTCCACGTGTGCAGATGTGTGTGTGTCTGCGTCTGTGCTTGTCTGAGCATGCAGGTGTCAGTGTGTGGGTGCATGCTGGTGTGAGTGTGCATGTCCTTGCATACGTCCATCTACCTGACCTCAGGCAGGAGGGCTGTAAATGGCTTGTGGCAGCTACAGCACCTGCATTTTGTTCAGCTAAAAGCACCTGGCCAGGTAGTCCCCGGGGGTGGAAAGCTCATGTGGGCATTAGCACGAGGTCAGAGGGGCAGAGCGGCCACTAGCCACTCTAACGTCTACTCGTTGCCTATGAGGAGAGAGAGGAAGATATTGAGTGAGTTCCATCCCTAAGGAGCTATGCATGTGAGCAGTTGTAATCTAGCGTGATAGTTAAGATAACCATGCTGGAGGTGCCTGCAAAATGCAGGGGGAGCCTAAGAGGCCTGGGCCAGCCTGGAGAAATCCTGGAAGGCTCCATGGAGGAGGCAAGCCTGAGCTGAGGCTTGGGAGGTATATAATGCCTGAGAGTTGGCCAGGCAGGTAAGGGAGGGTAAAGATGTGGGGCCCCAATGGGCTTAGGACACAGAGAGCAAAGAATCAGAGTGAGGTGGGGACTAGCTGGGTGAGTGAAAGGCCCACTGGGAGTCCAGTGGTGAAAAGCAAGGCCGGAGAGGTGGACAGGCACAGGCGCCCCAATACTGCCTGGTGGCAGAGGGCCGCTGAAGAAGTCTAGGCAAGGCAGAGACCATCCGTTGTGGGGTTCGAGGGTAGAGGGGGGTCCTCTGCCTCCTGCCAGCACCTGGGAAGGCAGACCATGGTTTTTCCTTCCAGGTGTGTGCAGGCACTGAGCAGGCAACTCTGCCTGCTGCACAGAAGCACCGCAGGACGAAGATGCCTGCAGCTCCCACGCTGACCACAGGTGCTCAGACCTGAGCCTGGAGCCTAACGGAGGCCTGGCTGCTGCAGGGACCTGCTCCCCCTCCAAGGCCCAGCGATGCCCATGCTGCGCCAGCTGCAGTGGCCTCTGGGCTCCTCTTTCTCATCAATGCCTCCTCTGTGGCCTGGGCCTGGGAGGGTGGGTCGGGGAACGCCTTGGGCCCCAGCCAGCCCGGTCCCCTCTCAGGGTGGCACCAGGCCGGCCGCCTCAGCACTGGCCTTGGGGTCTTAAGTGGGCCAATTCTCCACCCTTAGGGCCTGGTGCTCCCAAAGCCCCTGCCGAGGCTGGCCCTATGCTCACTCGTGAAACCTAGCTCAGGGACAATGGCGCCAAGCACACATTCATTCAGGCTCACAGAATGGGCACATGTGCACACACACATGCACGTGTGAGGGAAATACAGCTTTATTTTTCTACACCCCCAGCTCAGGCACAATGGCGCCGAGCACACATTCATTAGGCTCACAGAATGGGCACAGTGCACACACACACGCAAGTGTGAGGGAAATACAGCTTTATTTTTCTACACCCCGATGGCCTTTTTATGTCAAGCCCCATTCACCATCTAGAATCTTGTTGGTGCTGGCTTCTTGCCCCCACCCCACCTTTTCCCTGGTGCTACCCAGGCTTTGCATTGGGACCCTGCAGATCCTACAGGAGTTCCCTGTGCAGGCCACTGCTCCAATGGCCCTCATTCTCACCCACCCCCACGCCTACTCAGACTGCACATGGGTTCAAGGACACATCCTGCACTACCAAGGCCCCTGTCCGCACCCCCCCCACACACAGATCATCTTGCCTCCTCTCACTGGACTGTAGCTGTGGTCTCCCCACTGCCCTGTCCACCTTGTCCTTGTCCCTATCCTGTTGCTCCTTGCTCAGCATCTTCCTTGGCTCCCACAAACTCCAGAATAAAGTCCTCATTCACCTTGGTATTCAAGGCCCTCTGTCACCTGGCCCTGTGCCTCCTGTGAACCTCTGCTCCTGTGCCTGTCATTCCCATCTCTAAGACTTTGACCAGCTCTCTCGCCTCCCTGGACTGCCCTCTCTTCCCTCCCGCTGCACCCAAACCCGTTCCAGCCTTGAGAGGAGCAGAGGTGAGGAGGAATCTGACGGAAACAGCCCCCTCCTCCACAGAGCTCTGCCCGGCCCTCACGGTCCACACAGCGTCTTCGTCTCTGCTGCTCCCCACACAGCTTGGCCCTTGGCTCCTTAGGGACTGGCTCATAGAAGCTCAAGGCCCAGCGATGTGCAGTGTGCCACAGTCCTGCCGCATCCTTGGAGCCTGGTGCCAGGCTGACCCCACTCTGGAGCAGGTGTTGGCAGGGAGCTCAAGCGTCGAGGGAAAAAAAAAAGGAAAGAGGCAGCAGGCGGAGCAGAGCGTGAGCGGTGCCATACCCTCCCCGCACTGCCTCTCCCGGCCCCTGGGAGCGGTTGCTAGGCTGGCATGCGGCAACAGTGGGAGCGCACTCTCTTGTTGCTGGCACAGCCTGTCAGCTGCACCCACAGTCCACATGGCAGGAGCCGGCTGTGGGCATGGGGCAGCTCTTGGCCCAGGGGAAATGCCAATGGGCCAGCCAGACTCTGGGGGCAGGGGGAGCTGGGCTCAGATGCAACAGGGCCCCAGGCTGCAGGAAGGGAAGCCCTGCCACGCCCCTCTGGGCGAGGGTGACCAAAGATGGTGGGGGTTCCCCCTCCAGATGCCGAGGGTCCCAGCCTTCGTCCGTGGGCCTTATCTTCATCCTGTCTGGTGGGCCACCCACCGGCCTGCCTCGTATTAATGGGGGCTGATGGAAACTTGCTAGCGCCCCCCACCGGCCCTGATATGCCACTTTGCCCCTGTTGGGGAGAGGCCCCAGGGGCAAAAGGCTCTTCCAGGTCTCACATCTGGGAGCCTCCCGCTTCTCCAGAGCTCCAGGCACTGAGAGCTCCTCCAAAGACCTTCATTCTGACCAGGAGCTCAGAGATTGGAGTCTGGGCCGCCCTGGGCCCGCTGGTGCCCGTGAGCTCTACTGGGCTTTGGCCCTTCCTGGGGCTGCAATCAGGATGTGTGGTTGCCTGAAGTGAAGGATTTGAGCCTCGGTTTGAGGGGGCCAGATCACCCAGACTAGGCCCTTTCTGCCACCCTCCAACCCCCACTGCAGTCCTAGGAGCAGATGTATTGCTGTATCGCTGGGTGTGAGTAGCGAGGGCCCAGAGTGGGGGATGGCGGAGGGCGGGGCATGATGATCCTGGGCAGACTCTTCAGCTGGCAGAGGCTCCTGCCAAGACAGTTCCTGCCCCGCCCCCGCCCCTCCACTCATTATCAACTTGGGGTTTGTGTGCAAACAGCAGCTGGTCTCTTTTGTCAGCCTCTCCTCCCCGCTCCCCCCCTGCCCCTTCCCTCCTACCCAATGCCTCCCAACTGGCTCTTCCATCTCAGGCCCTGCCTGTCCCCCAGGTGATTTAGAAACTGGAGCTTTGGGGAGTCCTGGGATGGGAGGCAGCCCCTGCCTGTTCTTGGCCCTGGGTCCAAAGTTCTCCTCTAGCCCTTCAAAGAGCCCATATTAAACTCATCTGGGACATGAGAGCCAGGTAGGAGTAACAGAGCCAAAGTCACAAAGTGGGTGAGTGCAGAGCCGGGGCCCAGACCGAAGTGAGCCTGTTTGCAGAGCCTGTTTGCAGAGCCCGTCTACTGCCCGGCCTTAACTGTTCCTCCGATCGCCGCAGTGCCTGGCACCGCTTCTATTCCGGGGTTTTGGAAAGGTGGACTTGACCTCCTCGCCTGTGTCAAGGGCTTCAGCTGAAGTAAGCCTGTGTGCCTATGGCTGGGACAGGCAGGCAGGGCCTGATGGCAGGGCCCTGTCAGGAGCTGGGACTGGATGCTGAGGTGCAGTGGGAGACAAAACCTTACAAGTGGAGGCCCTGCAGACTGTGGAGGCGGGGAGCAGGGAGGCTGATTAGGAGAACATGGACCAAGGCACTGGTCTTGGGGAAGGGGGGCAGCCTGATCTGGGGTACTTGGTCACAGTGGATAGTGGGTGAGGGGAGTGGGGATGACACCCAGGTCTCTGGCCTGGACAATGGTCAGGATGTGAGTCCTTTACAGATAGAGAAGCAGGCGTGGCAGGATGAGGACCACCTTGAGTTTGAGGCAAACTGGGTTTGAGTTACTTGAGGGATGTCCAGGTGGAAGTCTCCAAGGGCCCCAGAAGACAAGCTGGGGCAGGGCAGGTGGAGAGCTGGGAGTGGAGAAGGTCGTGGAAGGTGAAGGGAATCAGGGGAGAAGGGGACGGAGGATGGAGTCCTGAGTAGGCTCAGAGGTCAGGGAGGGGACTGCAAGGTGTGGGAGGAGAGCAGGAGGAGTGTCCACTGGATTTGAGAATTGAGAAGGCGGCGGCTCTGGAAGGGCAAGCCCACGGCCTGGCAGGGGCTGTGGCCTGCATGGGCGTGTGGTTCCTTACCAGGCACTCATTCTTCTTCAGAGTTTAGCTCTTCTAATCCTACAGCAGGCCTGGGGCAAAAAGCCTGTCTCAGGTGCGACCTAGATCAGGCCTGAAAGTGCTGTGTAACCCCAAAGCGTTTGAGATGATGGCTTGTTGCTGCCCCTTGAGTACACAGGCATGGGGTACCAGGCTCTGCCATGAGCTGAGATTACTGAATCTGAGTCCCTCGGGGCCTCACTGCTGAGATGCCCAAACCCAAACTAGAGGGGACCACGTGATGGGCGACGGGGCTG